CCAGATTGCCAGGTGAAACGTTGGATTTTACAGATACATTCTTCCTATTTAATGTCTCACATCAACTTGGCACCCAAATACTGTGGAACTATCAGATCTAATTTAGACGAAGGTTCTTATATAGTTAAAGGCATCGTAAGATTCAAACAAACAATACCAAGTGAATTAAAATGATATGAGTTGAAAATTGTCAACAAAAGTAGTTTAAATTGTATTGAGATTACTGGTATGTATGGTGTCCTGGATTCAATTTTTACGTTGATTAAAATCACAAGATTACTTAATCGTAATAAATACAGGTAGCATAGAGGAGTGTGAGAAATGATAGCATAATTACCAAGCCGGTCAAATACCTGACCTGAGAGTATGGAATTTATGAACTAATATAAGTTAAGCAAGGGAAATTCAGCAGACAGTATGGAGATGTGTTCAAGTGTTCGAGTAGATGGTATCAGATCAAGTTTTACTCGACAGGATTACCGAGTTACAGGGCCAAAAGCTGATTAATATAGGAAAAGAGATTAAATATGTTGCTTATAGATGTATTGTTCCGGTTTTTAAAACATATATAACTATTAATTCTGTTATTCGATGGATGTAATGAATACTCCCTTTCGTTAATTTATTTTAACACAGTGGATCATTGCTTATTACTGTCTGTCTAATCGTATGGTTGGACTACATGGATATCATTTTTGACGCTACTAATAATAATCTTAGGATATCATTATGGAATTTTATGGAGATTATAGAATTTTCATAGTTTTTAAATCATGAACTAATATTAGTTATACCATCTTTGGAAGCCTGGAAGTGCTGGGCAGTTGTGTCATTCTAATATAGAATTCCTCAACGATGCGTGTCTGCGACCCCGCAGCCGGGAATAGTATACAAGGCCTTTGATCTCATGCGCGAACACTTAACCTCTGGACCGTTGAGCCGGCATCCAACGGTGGTAGTGTCTAACTCCAATCATTTCATGATTTCATGTAACGCTCATCCATTGTCTGAGGTAGATAACTGTCCCTTACTTGACATGGTTGAACTTCACCGGTCACGGCTTCTCACTAAAGAACTACAAGAATTGTATCTAAAAGCTAGTCACCAAAGGGGACATGATTATTATCACTATAGGGTTGTGTGGATCATAGTTTTCATAATTTTAAACAAAATCACCAACTAATCGTGCATTGATTGAAGTTGGACGTTAACTTCGTTGGATGTCGGCTCAGTGTCCTAGAGTTTTGGTGTCTGTGAATTGTGTCCGAATTGAAACATCGTCAAAACATGGATCAATAGTCAGTGTAACTTGTTTCACAGGAGTGATTATATTAATAGTTTATTATCGCATATTATTATTACTTAGAAGTGATTTAGTAAAAATTTGTGTCCTACTGTTAGATCTAGCAAATTGTTCAGTCAACATGTTCTCAATATGACTTAGGGAAGTCTCGTTTCTAACAAAACACAGCTTATTCATGATCTATGTCACAGATGTTAGTAAAATTGCAGATTATTTTGGCTTCATAAGCCTCAAATTTCGCTGAAAGCCAGAAGAAAAAAGATCGTTCTAATGGTCTAGTTATCTCTTTTTATACGTTGTATTCCTATAAAAAATTCTTGTAAGTACTGTTACAGATAGACTTGGTGATGTGAGGGTTGTGACTGGTTACTGAGTGAAGATACATATCCAACGCCTGTAAAACAATGAGTGTTTTTTCACAGTAGCTCAGAAGCTGTAGTATTTATTATTATTCTATTACTTACCTATCTTATTATCTCATATTGTTTTAATAAAGGATAAATGGTAATTGGTCAATATAACAATTATTTTTATAAGTTGATGACTACACTACATTCTGTTTTGGAGTTCTTGCTATTATAAATGTAATCAGGTTAATCGGCCTATGCGATTTCGTGATATCTTCACTCGTTTAATTATCAATATTAGTGACTTCTAGTTGTCGAATCCGAGAGTATACATTAGTGATATTGACTAAAATACTTAGATCTCGACCGATAAGTACCAGGTTTGAATTCCGATCGTTCGACAAATGTTCTACGAGCGACTATCATGAAGTTTTAAACTAGTTTAGAAAAGGGGTTTGTTGTGAAAAGGTTAAGTGTGATTTTATGAAGAAAATTCAGCTATGTCCCTTACCAAGTGGTGTAGACTTCATACTTTGAATCTATCCAAAGAACATAATTTATGGTTGAAGGTATTAAATGATATCAATTCACGTAGCAACAATTATAGTCACCCCTTACTGCTTCATACAGTCTTAGTTCAACATTATTTGTAAACTGGTCATTTTTTGATCTGATTCAAACGTTTCACCAGTTTCTCCTATAGTGTCTTTAAAGCGATTACTTTATTCTTTCTCTCTGTATACTGATATGAGATGTAGCAACCTGAACTGACACACACACACACATACACTTTCATTTTAGTTCCTAGGTTGGGTTAAGATTGATTGAATATCGATTTAAAGTGATATGAATTATTGTAGTCATTCATTTTGAAAAAAAGACTTATGATGTAACACATACCACTAACAGTCACAGTGACCTTATGCAGTTCTGTAGGTTTATTCATTAGCTCCAATATTGATGGTCTGATGAAACAAGCATAAACACCCCCATGTTGTTTATTGACAGGATCAAATATTAACGATTCCATAGCATACCATAATGGGCCAGATTGTGCTTCTTGTGTTTTTAATGAACGACTACCATCTGGCAAACGACCACCGTCAAATAATTTCCATTCTAAACTTTTTTGTGATGTATCATTTGGTCCAACAGATCCAGTACAGTTGATAACTACACGTTCACCTGGTGATATAAACACTTCTTCAGTTTGTACATGTACTTCTACAATAACATGAAGAGAAAAAAGAGGGATTACATTCAGAGGAAATGTGATGTTTGTATAATCTTTGGTGGTGTTTTGTTTTAAGATTTAAATATTTTCATTATGGGACTTGCACTGTCATTCTAGACTGAATCATCATGTGGAAATAAGCTTTCCCCTTAGTTTATTTCTACATGAAGTAGACGATGATGACGTTGTACAAAACGTTTGATGAAGGCTTCACAATTAAACTATCTAACTCAGATAAAATAACACCATCGAAAGCACCTACCTTATCTGTAAATCTCTATCGTTCGTATTAATTGATGAATGCTTTACACATTATTGCTAACTTATCTCACAGATTTAATCCCACCCATCCATTAGTGTATATGTTCCGGTGTTTTTTTCCGTTCTCCATAGCTAGGATATAATAAAATGCATATCTTATTTTTCTAAACAGAGATATATTCCACTGATTAGTATGTCTAAAATATTCTGACATACATACACTGTGATGATTTGAATAACTTCATCAAAGAGTGGACATCCAAATCTTACAGAAATTATGTAGTTCCTTGAAGCCGAATTTTACAACATAGTGACATATACTACAGTTTTTCATAATGATTACTTTCGGTCATCCATTAATTAATCACAAAATACTCAATTCAGCTACTCAACTGTATGATTCGACCTATGAAGAACAGTTGTTAACGAGCTACTATTGATTAGACATAACTGGCTCAGAATGTACAGATTTATGTTATGGCCTTTGAGATTAAGTTCATCTAAGAGAGGTCAAGTGATCTTAGACTGTTGCTAGGTGAGGACTTAAAATTGTACGGTTAAAACAATTGGCGAGAACAACTTACAGATTCATAAAACATACGAGAACACTAACTACCAACATTTGTTTACAAAAACTTAGTCAACTCCATGTATTTACATCCAAGTATGATAAGTGTAGAGAAAAAACATGTGCCTCCCATTATTCTTAAATATTATTCTTAATAATATCTGTAAGATACTTTAATTTATTACTTCAAGCATGTTTTTGCAAGACACATAAGGCTAAACGTTTTTGACAATTGGTTACCCAATAAGTCAAAACCGTTAATTTGTATTTATCAAAGCCGATGGAATCCAACTTTTACAAACATAATGAGACTACTGGACTAGTAGATTTGATATTTAAAACAATTAGTCCCTTTGATAAATTTCGATAATGCAATGAGAAGACGAAGATTATCAGAATTATGTGATATATTAGCGCAATACATTTCGAACAATCTGATCACACATATACTTGTTAAGACATTTTTTATATGAAAATTAAAAGGTCAACTAGACAGGTTAAGGTAAGAAAATAAATAAAGTACACAAAAACAAAGTGATGACTACTCTGGATAATAAATAAGCATTACCAGGGTAGGTTAAGGGTAAGAACAAATTGTTTTTGAACACATAAAGGGGGTTTCAATTTCCGTATAGCCAAGGCTTCAATAAACCTTAGTATACGTCCTTGAAGACTTTTGTACAACACTACAAATGCTGATTTGATGTCAACCTTATGACCAGTTTCAACTAAATGTTTCGCAATAGAGGAAGATGTTTGTCTGTCCTGTGATCTTATTTGACTATTCGAATTCATTTGGTTCTGTAGCCATTTAGGTGTGTGTTCCACCACCCTTATTTGCAAATCACGGTTGCTCCTCCCTATGTACGTGTACCGCACATACATGTAAATTGGTATACACAATGGGATGTGACACAATCGCTTATATGCTGTCTAGGTTTTTGGTGAAACATCGACCTTGTCTTTTCAATGATGTCAAGTTGAGCTGCATAGAATGTCCTATTTATGGCTAATTTTAGTCTCCGTCTTAACATGAGACTATTAGAGTCACTTCTAAATGGTAATGTAATATAAACTCGCTTTTTGGGTGCCAGAAGCGTAATAGGTCTAATCGTATTGCAACCCTTCCAGAGGTTTATGAACTTAAATGAATAACCGTTATTCATTAACGTATTAGTTAGACGCTTCGTTTCTATTTCAATAGTATCACTAGTACAAATACGATTGATTCTATTGAATAAGCCCTTAATTAACCCACGTTTGTAATGAATTGGGCAGTGACTATGGAAATTAAGGTATTGCCCCGTCCATGTCGGCTTTCTATAAATAGAACGTTGGATGGAACCATCTTCTCTTCTACTGATCAGTATATCTAGAAAAGGAAGTTGGTTGTTCTTCTCTTCCTCGCACGTAAGAGAAATATGCCTCTGACTTGTATTGAGTTCTTTTAACAAGTGGTTCAAGTCTTCACATTTATCCCCTATGATTATGATATCATCAACGTATCGTCTATACAGACACATCTTTTGGATTGAGTTTTCAGCTAAATTTTCAACATACCCCATGAACACATCCGCCAGCAACGGTCCTAAAGGACTACCCGTAGCTACGCCATCAATTTGTCGAAAGTGCTCACCTTGAAATGTGAATTTTACATTGTCAGTGCACAATAATTATAAATCTTTAAGAGTTTCAACAGGAAATGGCAATGGAAGATTATTAAGTGAAATATAGTCACATAAAATATCAATAGTTTTTCTCAGGGGTACATTTGTAAATAAAGTATTCACATCAAAAGAACACATTGTCTTTGTTTTTATATTCATATCCTTTAAGTATTTAATTAAATCAAATGAGTCAATCAAGGAATACTTACAAAATTGATGTCGGATAGGATTTAATATTTTTGTAAGCCATTTCGCTAGTTTGTGTGTAGGTGACCGACACATTGATAGAATTGGACGTAAAGGGATATTAGGCTTATGTATTTTTGGCAATCCATATAAATGAGGATACACCGAACCCATAGGTTTTAATAAATGAAACTCATCTTTGTCAATAGCGTTCATGTTTAACAATTTTGTTAGATTCGAGTTTACTTTCTTTTCTAATTTATGTAGTCCATCAGAGTCAACATCAGCCATGAATTTGCTCTTATCACTGAGAATCAATTCCATTTTATCTATGTAATCGGACTTATTCATAATTACCAATTTATACTACTAGTTGACCTTTTAATTTTCATATAAAAAATGTCTTAACAAGTATATGTGTGATCAGATTGTTCGAAATGTATTGCGCTAATATATCACATAATTCTGATAATCTTCGTCTTCTCATTGCATTATCGAGATTTGATATTATTGTACGTTTGATATTTTAATATTTAAATAAATGCAAATTCCACAACGATTTCAATTACAAGGAGAACGAGTCAACACTTATGCATTAAAAAAAATCATAATAGAAAATGACAGAGAATGAGTTTTCTTCTCAAGGTTAAAGTAGGAAACTTGCTCTCAGTTGACATTATATATATATATATATATACTAATTGCTTATTTTTAGCAACCTACCATCTTCTATCCATAAACGGACAGGTTCAGAAATTTTATCTCTGAAATCTTCTGTGTAAATAACTTCCGCCTGTTAGTTGAGCGTAAATTTAAAAAAAAACAACATATGAAATAAAAATAATTAATAACATAATGAAATGTGACGTTCAATTACAAATCAGGTGGAAAAAAAAACACCAATTGCGTAGAGACGATAATTAGAATTTTGTAGAGGGATAGTTTACTAGTTGAAACGTTTAACTTTTAACTTACAGTTTACATTATTAAGTCCTGCATCACTTACTTCGAATCAGCCAGTTGATGTAGGAGTACCACTAACAATCAAAAAGAAGCAAGTAGCTCGAAGACGAGTACACAAATGTATACTTGATAAAAAAAGTAAAAATATAGCCGAGATTTAATCGCTTCTGATAAAAGATGAAATTAAAACGTTCATGGAATTTCTAAAACTTGTTTAAATGGGGAAAAATAAAAGACTCAAACAAAATGAGGAACTTCGAATGTTAGAATATTCACTGATTAATAATCTTCTTGAATGAATAATTCGATCATTTTTTTAAAATATCACGATAATAAGTGTAAGAAAAAGTATTATGCTTCATGTGACGTATGAAATACACAACATTTTACGGTGATGTAACATGACAATATGAAATATTAACGTGGACTAAAACAATATTTATCACCAACTATTCATGACTTTGATCAATGGCTGAGAAATCTTAATATTCTACTTCTAGAGTTAACATTTACATGTACTCAACTATGAAAAATTGATAAACGTGAACATTCATTTCCTTTTTTCAAGTTTCTAAGCATACAAATAAACAGTATGAGTTGTCACTTCATTGTTGATCAAGTTTGTACCTTAATTATTCTAGATCGAAATCTAGTTTGCAATGGCTTACTTTCAAATATTTCGTAAATTAATTTATACTACTATTAAATAGTTCAGTAAGTTCAATTGAAATGATTACGTTTGATGCGTCTGACTCTTATTCCCAGTAATCTATGAATAAAGCACTGGAAAGAAGAATATGCGGTCGTTTAAATGAATCAATTTTTGGTTTTCAAAATGTATTCAGTGATAGAAACAAATATATTATGAAAACAGTATGAAATTTAATGAATTATGGGAAGAGACGTTCGAAAGCAACTTTGGCGTTTGACATTTTCGAGGTGACTTTGAAACAAAAAAGTTTGAATGAATAAATCATAAACCAAGATTATATGCACATAAATATTTTTATGTTTAAGTAGAAAAATGTTTTTAACTCAAATATAAATGATGAATGATGAAGTGATCGAATGAACTTTTGTATAAATTTAAAGCTAAATGTATTAAACAGTTTATAAATGTGTTATTATGGAAAATTGAAATATTAATTCAATCACAAATGTAAAGGTGGCTTGACGTATTGCAAAGGTATGGCTGTTTAATCTATATTTCGTACTAGTTGACACTCATTGTCAGTAAGGTGTACTTTAATACCAAAGGAACTGACGTTCCTTCCTCGATTCAAGCAGTGGTCAATGATGGTCACATTCTAACTTTAACAAAAAGAATTTGATTACCATTAATAAAAAATAGACTAGCTCGACAATAATCAACGATCAGTGATCAATGAGCTCTAGTTTTTAATTTTGGCAATGACAGTGTTTGTACGAGTATGGTATAATCTAAATTTCTCAGTGTTACATACTAAAACGCTCAGTTCATTTTATGGATTTTATTCGTCACCAAATAACTAGGGGAAAAAGATATTTAAAAAATGAAGTTTTTTGATGAATTTGTTTTTAAAATATCTGAAATTGTATTTCGATTAAATAATCAGTATCATGAGCAAGTTCATTTATTTGTCGAAATGCACGTGCATAGTCAATAAGCGTCGTGAAGTGCAGTTTTTACTTATGTGGGGAATTAGTTTAACTTAGAAAATGAATCATCAGATTGACTTGAAATTATATAACGGATAAAAGAATATTCAAAGACCAAGTCACAAGCTGATCGTATCTATACATGTATACCTGGAATCACTGAAAGGCTGTTTATTCATAGCACTGGGAATTTTCTACAGTGCACATCTAAAACCCTACATCCAGGAATCGAAACTAAGACCTTTGGCCTGGCTAGCGAACACTTGACCTCTAGACCACTGAGCTGGTATTCAACCGTGGTAATGTCTAACTTCAATCAATTTGTAACTCCAATATTCATGACTTCTCACTTGAAATTCATGAGTTGGATCTTGAAGCTAGTCATCGGTGAACAAAGAATAAACGTCAGAAACACAACTATTGGTGATTAGATAAATGTTATTGTGAATGGTCTATGGTGATAATATGCAATAATAAAAATTAAGTCAGTGAAATTAACAAATCTTTCTAGAAAATATTCGATTGTAATCAACTGAAAAAGATGGGGTCACATTTAAAAACGGCAAAGGATAATTATAAAATAATATGTAAAGGAAATTGAGGGCCTTGACAAATAAAGCGACCTTACATACTGTTGTGTTAGTACAAGTAGGTTTGGCTGTATGTTGTATACCGTCAATGCATTTCCAGTGTAAATATATGTACATATATAAATTAATATATTTGTAATATCCTAATGAGTAGAAAAATTGAATTTTCTGACGTTTTGTGACTCAGTGTAAGCCAATTCTTCAGAGAATAAATAACCAAATAACCAAATTTGGTTATTTATAACAATCTACCCAATGCTCAATTTATTCAAAATTATCAAATAAAAACTTGGTAATGATAACTATATATATATATATATATATATATATATATATATATATATATATATATAAAGACTGTATTTTTGGCAACCCTGGACCTGGGCTTCTTGCCAGACTGCACTAGTCAGCAAGACATACATGAACTCTTAAGGTCAAATCCGGATCACCTACATTTATCAGTACAAAAATGAATTGATTGTTTATAATTTTATAGGTTCTGTTTGACACTATAAATGATTTTGAATGTTATGTCTAATACAGAGAGTGGGAGCGGCCAACTATGTGTTGCAGAGGAAAGAGCGAATAACAATACATCAAATTAAGTTTTACCAGGAAAAATCACACCTTGAAGTTCATTGTTCTCGTTTATTTAATAGACTGACTTCTTATCGTTTTCATCATATGATGACCTTAATTAAACAATCAATGGAAACAAGGAAGCACTGGAAACATATTTCTTTATAGTACAGGACTGCTAAAATTAAACACAAGAACTGAGAGTTCTTTAGATCATTGGATCATTAAAAAGTTTACCCATCTACCTTCAGTCGGTTTGCAATATTGCACGGTCATCTTCCAATGTGAATGGTGTGTAACTATCTCACACTCTACATAATTAGGCTTCACTGTTCACAGCTACTTGAAACTAATCATTATTATTAATGTGAGATTGTGCAGGTTGCAGGATTTCATAGTTTATATTACGGAGCGATATTAGTCAAACAACCAATTTATTTTTGTACTGATAAATGTAGGTGATCCGGATTTGACCTTAAGAGTTCATGTATGTCTTGCTGACTAGTGCAGTCTGGCAAGAAGCCCAGGTCCAGGGTTGCCAAAAATACAGTCTTATATATATATATATATATATATATATATATATATATATATATATATATGTATATATATATATATATGTATATATATATACAAAGTCATCAATCTTCGCCCATGTCTGAAAAGTGTAGAGTTGTTTTAGTCTGAAAAGACATTAAAAGATGTAAAAAAAATAATCATCTCATTCGGGAAGTATAGAAGGAGCAAATACATATTCGCAAATTTCGGTGAAGTCAATAAATTTAACTAATATAACGAGTCGTTTTTCAACACACACACATTAATCACTCGATAGCCGTATTATATTTTATTTAGTGTTACAAAAGAGGACATTCACTATCTTTTTTCTCTTTTCCTGTTTAATCCACATGATTTATGTTATATCCTAGTGTATGTTAAAGTACGGGTAACTTCTGGGATCTATTACTGGACTAACATTCTATAAATATTCTTATTGTATAACTATTGACTAATTAGATTGTGTATATCTATATTCACCTTATTACAAGCTTCATTCTGACCTATAAATTATTATTATACGATTTACTGTCCCTAAATTATATTCAGTTTATTGATTACTGTCTTCCACGTTCACAGGCACTTTTCGGCTTTATTGTGTATAAATCTTATCTCCTATTTTATGGTGCTTTGTGGTCTATTTGGTTGATATATAAACCCAGTATGTCTGAAACAAAAGATTCGCATGGCATAAGCTGTTATTGGTGTTCTGGAGTAGGCGGACAAAGGAACAATAAGGACACTAGGCTGCTCATATCGGTCGAACGTCATTGGTTTGGCACAGTGTAAATATTGGATAAATCGTATTTTGATTGGTGAATAAACTAAGTGATAAAAAGCCGGGCATAAATTCACAACAATTTATATGTTAACGGCTGAAATGTCTTTAACATTTAACTTTAAAACACATTTATATTCTGAGCATTTTGGTATTTGGTTATCGGTCGAATTTAAGAGGAGCGTTTTATCTTACTTGTGATTCGTTAGCTAGATGGACCTATATACTTCAGTGTTAACTTTGACATTGAGATTCTAACCCAGTAGCTTTCGCATCAAATATCGAGC